CCGTGGGAGATTATATTTGATTAAAATCAATTAAGGGTCTCTGCGTGAACTCATAGGCTACAAACTCGTTTTATCACCTCATTATTCTTATTTCTCTTTCATGCACACACTCATTTGTAACCTTCAGGGTTAATGCTCAAATGGTGTATTGTTATAAAGAGAATTTATTCATTTTAGCGAGTCAAGCTATGCCTTAATTGCTCCTTTATATATTAAATAGTCATGGCACTTCTGGTGCCTAACTCTGGATCCAGATTATCATATAACAAGCAATTTGTAATGGCAATAGTGTTGTCGACAACTATAACCTTTTTGTAAAACTCCCATATTTGTAAAAGTAATGGCAATTTCTAAAACAACCAGATTCTAAACATTTCCCAAAGATATTTTGATCTGGTCATTCCGCATCCCTAGTATTACGTTTGTTTGGTGCACCTATAAATCTTACCAGGGTTTTTCGTCATCTGGACGAACGTCTGCAGGACATAATTGTTCAATCTATTTCAAGAGTGACAATATTTCTTTACTAGATCTAGTATTATGATCCATATCTCTTTCACCGATAGATCTCCTACACTTCTAGTGTCAAGGAGTATCGATAGATATGTTTGGTCCAAGGATATAGGACCTAGTCACTTCTTTTATGATCATTATGATCAATAGATGTATTTGGCAGATTATTTGCTAAAATCACAAAATAGATTATCTTTTGAACTTCCAGTTCAATCTAACTAGTACATGGATTTAAATAATGAAGATGTTTTTATTCTTATGAAATTTCTTGGCATTCCAAAAAGCTACGAAGTAGTATATTATCTCCCCCTAATGCCGAGAAACAATCTTCATTAGGAATGTAGTCAACGTACCCAATTATATGTATTGATCCCCTATCATGGGCTTTCGGTATTTAATCAATAGATGGAGGTTTCTTTGGTAGCCCTTTTAGAGGTACGTTGTGGTGGTGATATAAAAATAGACTGCGCAAATAAAATAACGCAGATAGGGAAATGTTACTTCTTAAACCACGTACTAGGTGAAAAAGGGGGTATAACAATCCTTGAAGGATTGATTTGTGATATGCATCGAGTTAGACTTAGTAAAAAAAACTTGACTCATAGTAACGTCAAGCAATCCTTCGGGGATTGATGGGATAGGTTGACCATTTTTGGTCAAGAATTCATTGTCAAGATTCATCCTAAAAGGATGACTTAGAGAATTAAAATCCTTAATCTACCTTCTGGGCAAATAAATATACAAAACAATGAGGGCTATAAATTTAAATATCATATGCCCAAATCTCATGTCAAAAAGTTTCTATAGCAGAAACTAGCATTGTAAACATGTCATAGCCTTTAACTATTATCACATGCAAGCTAAGGTTTAGCAACGACAGGTGCAACCTAACCATATTGAGAATTCATGATATTGCCACACTTATAAGTAGGGTGATGAATCTCAATAGCTATGGCCTATAACAAATAATTAATTGCCAACAAGAAATAACAAAAGCTGTTATATGAGCCTAATCAAGAGATTATATGCTAAAAGTTGTCAATTAAAGAGAAGCATGCAATAGCATGTGATATAATTGTCCCTTATGTCTTGGACACCAAACTCTCTATTGAGTCATGCACATCCATTAAAGAGTATCATGTTTGGTACACACAAGGCATGACATGACAAGAGATATTGTTTATTAATTCATAAATTAGAAAAATGAGAGAAGTACCGTTCGTCGAAGAATAATGAGCACATGTTCGCTGCCGGGCCCATTCATTCCTATTTCGGGGAGTCAAAAATAGCACTTTTCCAAGCAGGCTCTCATTTTATTTCATAGTTTCATATCAGCATGAAAACATCACAAAACAGCAAGATATACAAGCTGAAGACGGCAGAAAATTTTCAGAATTTTGACCTGGATTGCAGGATTTTCTGGGGGAAAACGGTAACACATTTTGACACAAAGTTTGGCAGATATGTAGTTCAGCAAGTCTAGAACGTACATAAAAATTTTCATCTCAATCCAAGGTGTGGAAGTATTTTTTTCTGAAATTTTTCACAACATTGCTCCAGGCAGAAAAATAATTGGCAGCACACTGCCAAAACTTTACAAATTTTTCTGGAATAACCAAAGCATATTTTTAACAAAATATTTTTACAGACATCAAATATCACGAGTCTAGGTTCTCCAGAAAAAATTTCATGCCAAAAGGAGTTCAACAAGTATTTTTCACGAATTTAATTTTCAAACTGCGCCTGTCAGAATTTTCAGGCAGTGATTACTATGTGTAAAAAAAATCACAACTTGTTTGCTTCAGGCAAACCAACATGATGTGAGTCAATTTTAACTTTTGGACAGTAGCATAGCATTAGAAATAGAAGTTGCAAACTTCATTCATGAGTCATAAATCACCTTAAAGATCAATCCCATTTGAGGTCTTATAGACCTTTATTAAAAACGATCCAATGACCAAGCATATTTGCCAAGTAGGAAAGGCACGGAACTCATAAAGTACATTCCAACAAAAAAACTAAAATTTTGATGTCTTTTTAAAAAACAATGACATTCAAAATACTTATTATAATCTGGTCATGTACTACTACAGGAGTACAAGGTGACTATCACATATGACAATGAGACGCACACTATTTTAAATAATTTTTAGTTATGTACTTCTACTAGAGTACAACGGATTCATGTACAATCCGAAAAGGTACCATCCGGGAAGTAAAAACCCGTCCAGAAAATTAAACATAGAGAAGTAAATTCTAAATTGTCAAATAATTTCGGGTGACCCACGAGAATTAACTTCTCAGATCATGCGTCCATTTTGTACATTAATGGATCACAATAATTTATTGATCATAGGATCATACGATCCTTCAGGGATCAACTTAGACTCTAAATCTTTTCGATCAAATATTCATAACCGATGGTTTAGACTAAAAGGTGTCAAATAAAAATTAGTGCTCTAAGTGTTTACCTTCTGGGCAAAACAATATTGAAAATATGCACTTTTATTGTGTTCAAATACTCACATTTGAGATATTCAAGATTCAAGACTCATGCCATATAATTTTATGATAAAAATTAGCACCATCAATATGCATGAATTTGGAAAAATAAATCATTTGACTTCCAAAACAGAATTAACTCAATTTGACATTAGTCATATAAATTGTCGTAGTGTTATTATCATATAACTAGTGCTATGAATTCGCCTTCTGGGCAATGCTATGTGTAAAATTCATGTTGTAACCACTTGTTGATCATGACAATCCTACAAGGACTATCGTATAATAAGTATATAAATCAATGACTTTAATTTTTCATCTGGGCAAAGCACCCATTAAGATTTATAATAAATCTTAACATATATGGCCTATAACAAATAATTGTTATGTCACATTTTCTTCTATGATATACACATAGCCATATTGCATAAGAGAGCAAATTGTGGCACAACAATAATTGTCATGTAATAATCAGTAGTGTCACAACATTATATATTTCAATTAAGCTCTCAAAAAAAATTAGGCATCAACAGGATGGACATGCATATGACATATTATTATCTTAAATAATAAGCATAGTCAAAATTATCTAAAAAGATAATCACTCATCTAAGTTCAAGTAATCTATGCCTTTTACCACATTTCAGTTTATAATTTGACATGGTATAACAACATTATGCAATATGATTGTATTGCCTAATAATAATAATAATTTATTGACATAATTCAAGGCAATAATATGAAGTGCATAATCAATCAAGTAGGCATAGATGATGTAGCAGTTTTAATCAAGTAGGATCAAAGACAAAGCTCGCTAGAGTATGGTCGAAACTCTAGCATGATTTTCCAACCTTTGATTTGATTTTCACTGTATTTCTATGCTAAGAAGTGTACTCCCACAAGCTAATTTTGCTTTGATACTGGGTTTATAATATGCATACGCACATATACATACAAAAAATTAGTCATAATGCATATGTTATCAGGTTCTGGAAATGGATAATACAAACACACATATCCTTATTAACATGGTTAAAAAAAAATTATCAAACTGGATTCTGTTTGCTGCCTCATTGCCACGACTAAGTGGATTATTAGCAACAGAAGAAATCAAAGGGACATTACCAATACTTAGCCAATTAAGAGCATTAACACTAGGAGCACTAACACTTTGTGATTCATTAACAGTGGTATTCATATTATCAAGACCAGAAAATCAGAAACAATAGCACTATCACTAGCAGGAACACTAAGTACTGGTAGTGTGGTTTGAGTAGCTCCATCAAAGGTCCTATGACCAGCCAAATTACCAAAGGTAGGCCGATTAGGAACAATGATTTCATGTGTTCTATGACCAGCCAGATCACTTTGGACCAGCCGATTAGAAACAATTGAAGATGATAAGCTCACCACACCAGTACTTTAAAGTGTGACCAGAAAATAGAAGTACCTTGAAGAGCCCCAATCTCCAACCACTGTGATAATCGCCACCACACCAGTACTTTAAAGTGTGACCAGAAAATAGAAGTACCTTGAAGAGCCCCAATCTCCAACCACTGTGATAATCGCCGGCCTGGAGCCTCTGTTGGTTAGAGCTCGTGCTGATAACGTGTTAAAAGGAAAAAATAGAATAGTGAATAGAGAGATGAGGGAGAAAGGATGATAGTCTCTTCATTATCATCTTCATCTACAACAAGCTAAGTATAGAGTATATATACATAATACAAAGGTATTAAATTGATGCAATAAATGTATAACAGTTACATACGTTACAATAATAATGTCCATAATGATGATGAATTATAACAAAATAGTAGAAAAGTAGGACGGATAGATCCTTCCTCTCTCCCTTATAAAGATTCATTGAATACGTTCTAACAATAACACAACACAAGCAAAAAAAAAAAAAAAATGTGGGGTGGAAAAGAGAGATCAGTAGCGGCAGCTATCCTGATGATGATGAGCTTCCCAGCGATGCTCACTTTCGCATATACAGCAGATATGTCTTATGAAGCAGATCGGTACAAGCGAGATGGGATATCCATGGTTCCAAAGGGTTGTCCAGATAAGTGTGGCAACGTTAGCATCTACTATCCCTTCGGAATTGGACCTGACAAAAGTTGCTATTTGAATGAATGGTTCCTCATAAATTGCACCAAATCCTCATCCCCTTATGGTGTCCAGAAGCCCTACTTGAGGGCCTTTTCCGATGGCAAGAACAACGGCGTAGGAGAGATTCTGGGCATTTCCTTAGAAGATCAAACAATAACAATCCAAGAGTCAATCTCTCCTCTCATCCGCGGATCGGGGGAAAACAATAATTCATTCTCCATAATTGGCCGGGGTAACACAGATTTATCTGCAAACCCATTCCTCTACTATACAGGCTACAACAAGTTCATGCTTTTCGGCTGTGGCAACGCTCTCCTCACTACTACTTCGCCTGGTCGAACTACTCAAAGAATTCAAGGTGGTTGCACGTCGGTGTGCCGCAAAACCACCGAATTTGAACGACCTTGCTACGGCATAAACTGTTGTCAATCTAGTTTAGGCATCAGTGTAGTAAAAATGCCGTACCAAGTCAACCTCACAGACTTGCCCGAAAATACCAGCAACTACGCCTTCATTGTTGCTGAAAATTGGTTCCCTAAAAGCTTACCAGGTAGCCGACAGGAAGAGGTAGTTGTTCCGGTCGTTTGGGGGTGGAGCATCCTATACGACTACTTGCAGTTGCCTCCATCCTCCTCATACATCTGCCTCAATGGAAGTTATAATACTTGGTATTGTGAATGCCAATATCCAAACAAAGGGAACCCTTATTTAGCAAATGGATGTCAAGGTATATTATATATGCTATTAATCTATATTCTCTATAAATAATGTTTACTGTTTGCATTCTGGAAAGGCTGGCTCAAGATAGATTTTGTTGTTTTACTCATCATCTGCATTCCATTTTCTGTTCTTCTCATGCAGGCAATGATAAGCTCACTGTCAAGCAACTATCAGCTATTATTGGTAAGTTAATTAAAAGTACAGTTTGAAATAGATATCAATGTAATTAAGTTTATAATAAGGATACTATATTCATGTCAATCTAGCTAATTCTTATGGACATTCTCCTCACTCAATCTCAGGTGTTTGTGCAAGTTTTGGATTTTTGCTGTTTTTATTGGCTTGCTTTATCCTCTATAAGACCATCAAGAAGAGAAAGATGAAGAAACTGAGGCACAAGTTCTTCAAGCGTAATGGAGGTCTGCTATTACAGCAACAACTCTTAGCCAAAGAAGGCACCATAGAGAAAACTAAGATTTTTACTGTAAATGAGTTGGATAAGGCCACTGATCACTTCAATGCCAATCGAATACTAGGCCGAGGCGGGCAAGGCACAGTGTACAAAGGAATGTTAATTGATGGGGAGATTGTTGCAGTTAAGAAATCGCAAGCTGTGGACGAGGACCAGGTGGAGTCATTCATCAACGAGGTTGTCATTCTTTCCCAAATCAATCATAGGAATGTTGTCAAACTATTGGGATGTTGTCTGGAGACGGAAGTTCCTATTTTGGTTTATGAATTTATACCAAATGGAACACTTTTCAGCCTCATCCATAATAATTTTGGCGACGAGCTCATTCCTCTTTCATGGGATATTCGCTTAAGGATTGCATCAGAGGTGGCTAGTGCTTTATCTTATCTCCACTCCGCCACATCAATTCCCATTTACCATAGAGACATCAAGTCCAGTAACATCCTTCTAGACGAGAAATTTCGAGCTAAGGTTTCAGATTTTGGAACGTCTAGATCTATTTCAATTGACCAAACTCACTTGACTACTGTAGTGAAGGGGACATTTGGTTATTTGGATCCCGAGTATTTCCAGTCTAGTCAATTCACAGATAAGAGTGATGTTTACAGTTTCGGAGTTGTCCTTGCTGAGCTCCTAACAGGACAAAAGCCAATTTCATTTGAAGTTAATGATGATGAGGATCGGAGCTTGGTAACACGTTTTTTATTGTCCATAGAAGAGAATCGTTTCTTGGAGATTCTTGACAGAGAAGTTTCAAAGCAAGGTAAAAGTGAAGATGTTATGGCAATTGCGTTGCTTGCACAACGTTGTTTGAACTTAAACGGAAAGAAAAGACCTACCATGAAAGAAGTGGCTGCGGAGTTGGATGCCATTAGAGCATCTCATCCTCAACTCCACTCCCCTCGGCCTTGAAAACATTGGGAATTGAGTCAGATTTCACCGTTTAAATTTTACTATATATTTTCCTTTTTTCACAGTTTAGGAGATGTCTTTTTCTTATTGTTTAATTTTAGGTAAAACTAAATAGCCTTAGAGTGAGTCTTCCGTGACATGTCACATTGATCATTATCTGTGATAAGGGTCAGGTTATGATGGCTATATAAAAATGTAATACTAATAATGAATAAATTGTTTGTTATTTATAGGGAAAAAAGTAATATTTTTTAGAAAAATTATAATACTTCTCCTAAATGGAAAATTATAATACTTTTAGAGGTGCTTGGTAGCCATGAAAGCTTCAACTGGTGGGAAAATTATTCCACGTTTGGTGCAATCTTTGATTTAGGAAAGTTAGGGCCAATGCAAATTTAGTTCCATATTATGAAGGATAGTAAATCCCACCTAGAGGAGGTAAGATTTTTTTTTTTTTTTTTTTTTTTAAGGTGATTGGGGATCTACCAAATTTATTCAATTACGTATTTATTCTTTTTAACACCAAATTAAAAGTCTTTTATAAATATAAGAAATCCGTCTCTCCCACCATTACGAAGGATAATTAACAACACTATTGATGGAAGAAATTTGTCTCCCCCAACACGTTTTTACATATGTACTATTTTGTATTTGAATATTATATTCTTTCAGCAGTCTAGAATATTTTTACATATGGTTTATTAATTATGTTTTTTTTTTTTTTTTTTTTTTTTGGCAAGGTTATATTAATGATTTTAAAAAAAATCCTAGGAAAGCTTAAATGAACCAAATATCTTAATTAATTTTCAAGGTAATTTAATTCATATTTTCAATGGTAACACCAAAAATGTTAATTAAAATTTTCCCTGCAAAGTTATTCCATAAAATATAATGCATTACTTGAAAATATTTACCCAGAAATTTAATTGATTGAAAAGTTCCAAACGCCTTCTTAAATCAAACTTTAATATTTAGAGTTGAATAGTTATTTATGGAAAAAAAATGTAATACTAGTCATGCATAAATGGACCCAGGATCTTTGTCGTGCTTCTAATTTTGAAGAACTCATGCAGGAGACATGGGCAGTGTCATCCCAACTATTGGACATATTTGGATGTATGTGGTCAATCTATTAGCTTGGCAAACAAGGTAGGTGTAGGCCGGGTAGTAATTCCCTTTAACATACACTAGTATTTTTGTTAAAGTTTTGGTTTGAAGGAAGGAATTATGGAAAAGATGAATTGTAATTTGGTAGGAAAAGAATAATGTGTGAATAAAGTAGGAATTCGATCAAATTACGTTGTTTGATATGGAGAAATAGAATTATTGAAATTGAGCAGGAAAAAAGTGGTATAAAGATTAAAATACTCTTATGTAATAATAATAGTAATAATAGCCAAGGGTAGTAGTGTCATTTCATTTCTTTTTCTTTTTTCTCACGTCCATTGAATTGCAATTCATAGGAATTCATGGGGTAGCCTATGAATTGCAATTCAACAAAAAGAGGGAATTGCACCAACCAAACAACGTAATTGAGACATCCATTGAATTCCAATTCAACTACAACTAAATTACAGTGAATCAAACGCCCTGTAAGAGTTAAGGGGTCGTATATGAATTATGATATTAAAGAAGGGGTTAATTAATAGGCTATTGAATTATACATAGGTATACAATTAGGGGGTCGTATATGAATTATGATATTAAAGAAGGGGTTAATTAATAGGTTATTGAATTATACATAGGTATACAATTAGGTCATCAAATTGAAAGAAAAAAAAAAAAGTGTAACTGTCTCAAACAAGTTAAAATGATGTAATTATATCAAAAAGGTATTTATATATGTATTTCTAGAAAATTCATTGTCCATGATGAGGAAAAATGTTTACACGGACAATGAATTTTCTATAAAAAATTAAAAAAAAAAAAAGGTGCCCAAAAGTCTCAAGTTTTAGAACTGTCAATATGCAGTGTCGGTATTGGAAAGGAATAAGAAATTTCTTAAACTTGGAATTATATAGCTGATTGAAGAGAAATGCAATTTGTATACGTATTCTTAGTAGTAATAGAAGTAATCACACGCACTTAATCTTAGTCAAGTCATTGTGGGAATCTAAAATTATTAAAATATTATTAACGCTTATAATAACCAAAAATCTATTTTCACAAAAAAAAAAAAAACCAAAAATCTAATTTCCTTAATTTGTCAATGTGGAACAACATAAACTCGGAGTAATATTACATGGAGTTAATGCCATTTTTAGTCTTAAACTTATTGGGGCATTGACACTTTTCATTCTCCATAATAAAAATTGCCATTTAGTAGCCACTGTTATTGATCGTTGGACACTTTTAGTCCTCCGTCACTTGTACCGTCTGTTGACTGTGAAAATGAAGGGCATTTATATCATTTTATGTCTTTTTCTTCACTCTCTGCCGTCTCTAGGTAGAAACCATCTCATAATACATTAATACCTAAACTATTCCAGATGTAAAGGGAAAAAAAATTATTACAAATTTCTTTTATTTTTTTTTTAAAAAAGAGCAAAAAACAAATAATTATAATCCATCGCCGACGTTTACAGGTCACCGGCGTTTCACTACCTCTCTCTTCTCCCCCACCGATGTCCACCTTCGCTCCAGATTCAAAGCCTCCACTTGTTGATTGTCATCATCCGCTACCGATTTTCACCTCCGCGCGTTTGGATCCGTACTCATAATGATTGATATATTCACAGTGAGGAGAAGGATTTGGTTTGACAGCGAAAATGAGAGAGTAGATCTTGGGGGCTCAGTGGTTGTCGACACGGTCAGAATAGAGTTGTCAGAACAGGGATAATGAACGACTCAGTGGTTGTCGACAAGAAGAACAGAGTTCCAAGGTGTTCGAAGATGGCAGCTGTAGCGGTTGCGGCTGTGGAGACGGTAGTAATAGCGAAAGTGGAGGTCTTCTCCGGTGGTGGCAGTTGGTTGCAACTGTGGCAGTTGCGGCGGGGAATAACGACTCTAGTCTTCGCTCTCTCTTTCTCTCTCTCGTCCACGAGCAGCAGCAGCCATATGTAAATCTTTCTCAAGTAAATCTCAAGAAATCAGAGTAGATGACGATGACAGTGGTGGTTTCAGCTGTGGATGTTGATGGCTAATTGATGTAGTCTGGAGATTTGAGCTCTTCATTTTGCTTCTGTTTCGCAATTTTACCCCCAAAATTTATACTCCCACCAGATTGAATTAGTGAAGGGGTTCCCTCTTAGAAGCTCCGCCTTGCAAGAACACTGTCGCCCCCGCTGATGGGATTGACTGGTGTGGGTGGTTCAAGAAGAACCCAACTGTGCTCTCTCCTCCAATACTGCCGGCGTCGTTCCAACCAACCATTCTTGAAAAATTAGCATCCAAGGTCGCCAGATTTGAAGGGTGGGCAGGCTCGGCGGGGACGGAATCGAGATGGGAATTGAAGAGAATAGAGGAGAGCGAAGGGTTGGAGCCGAAGAGGGTGAGTAATACAACTGCACATCCGCTGTTGGCTGTTCTCTGGTTGCGACGAGGGAGAGGAAATGTTTGACAATATAGAAGCGAATGAGGATGGTGAAGCTATAGTCTTTAGACAACAGAGCTGACTGATGAAGAAGACCACTGGAAATGACAAAAAAGCCCTTCGTTTTGACGGTGAACAAACAGAGAAGTTGACGGAGGACTAAAAGTGTCCAACGATCAATAAGCGTGGCTACAGATTGACAATTTTTATTATGGAGGATGAAAAGTATCAATGCCTCAATAAGTCTAAGACCAAAAATGGCATTAACTCTATTACATGTAATCATTATTGCATGGACCATATTGTGTGGATCATAAATAAAAAATACATTTTTAATATACCAATGGTATATTATTTTATATAATGTACCTTCAGTACAAAAATAATGTACTTTTAATATATTAAAAATGTACCTGATATTTATGGTCCACACAATAATTTGCCTATTACATGTGTTCTGACTTGGGAAGGTTGACCGAGTGCATGAAATATGATTCTTGTATCTAAAAGTTATGAGCTCAATTTTTTGTAATATTTTTTTGGTTGAACTTCTTGCATATAGTCTTTCGGCAAATTATGCAGTGCATCCGTATGCACCATGCAAGGTGCATACTGATGCAAAAATGACGTTGTTTTGCATAAAACGCGCGCCCTACTTAAAAAAAAAAATCAGTTTCGATTCCCAGCAACAATATTATGTTATTCATTTTTAGTTCATTCATTTTGGATTTTTTAGTTATGAAATTCTGGAAGTGTAGTTATGCAATTATGGATGTGTAGTTATGAAGTTATGGATGTGTAGTTATGCAATTCTGGAATTATAGTTATGCAATTCTGAAAGTGTAGTTATGCAATTCTGGATGTATAATTATGAAATTATGGAAGTGTAGTGAAATTATGGATGTGTAGTTATGCAATTCTGATTTTTTTTTTTTTTTTTTTTTTTTTAAGTTAGACGCCAAAACGACGTCGTTTTTGCATGGTGCATACGGATGCACAGCATAACGTTCCTAGTCTTTCTAATATTATATGTATTTTTACTTTTTATTTCATAACGTAAATTAGACATGTGAGGGGAGATATTTTATATACTTAATCCGTCTCATTTTATGTGTTTTAATTTAATTTAAGTATATGTTGGATCTAAGCGCTGCACTATGCCTACTTCCCAGGGGGTCACCCATCCCGGGATTGTCGGAAGTCAAGCATGCTTAACCACAGAGTTCTATGGTACCTGGTTGCCATATCCTACTTAAAACCAATTGGTGATAGGTAGGTGGACATTAACCATTTAACCACATCTCTCCATGGTAAGCCACAGCGCCACGTCCCGAATCGAGCAGGGGCTGACTCGGCCAACCCGGCCGACACCCAACAATCCCCCTCCCAGCACCTGCCGCAACCTTTGATCACCAAGCCCAGTTACGCAGCATGCTTGACTCGGTCCTTAGCCTACACGCCCACCATCCCCTCTTGGGATTGGACTTGGCCTGACCTACGCCCACATCCCACCTGGGACTGGACTCGGCTTTCGCCTCGCCATCGATCCGGACCCGTGACCACGGCTCTGATACCAATTGTTGGTCCCGATAGAGTGAGATGAGAGTCTAGAGGGGGGGGGGGTGAATAGACTCTTTTCTCACTCTATCGGGACCAACAAGTTGATATCTTCACTGTTGATATCTTCAATAAAATCGTCGACCACAAGACCTCGGGCACAGATGATGTGACGAAGGAGAAGTTGAAAATGCTGCATGCCTTCCTGAACGAATTTAAAGTCGATTGGTCGAAGATCATTTTCAACAATATTGTTCATACCATCACTTTTCATCGAAAAAGTCCAGGTGACATTGCGAAGAAGTTGGGATATGGTTTTGTGATAAGCCATCTTCTGGCAACGAAAGGAGTCGTTCTGCGCCCAGGAATTCGGCCTGGTCAGAAAGCATGTCATATGAAACAAAAACCATCAGGATATGACAAGCAGAAGGCGTTGGAGTTGGGAATCCCTATTGAGCAAGTCAAAGCCAAGCGGAAATCAAGAACACCTAGGGTTTCAGAAGATGAGCAGCCCAAGCCGAAACGACAAAGACGAGAAAAGCACTCCTCTCGGAGTAAGGCGAAAAAGGGCGAAGAATCTTCAGCTGTTCCAATCTCACCAAAATCTCCACAAAAGAAGAACGATCCTATTCCACCTTCCCCTCTACCAGAATCAATCATAGTCAAAGACTCATCTGAAGACGAAGATAATTTAATTCTCTCCAAAATTATCAAAAGCAGTCACTTTCGGTCTCCAGCCAAGGCTACATCTTTCCCGAAGGAATCTTCTACACCGAAAGAAGGAGACACGAAAGAAGCACTGTTTGAGGGGGAAGTTCAACCGAAAGATGATCTTCCTGATGATCAAGGACCCAAGACTGATCTCGGTTCTCCTCAAGACCACCATCCACAAGAACCTACTTTGGCAGATCAACTCCTTCGAGAGCTGACACAAGAACCTGCTAATGTAGACATGGAGGCCAGTCGCTTAAGTCTTCCACAAGAACCTGGGTCACCAGAAAAGACGAAAGAGGCGACTGATGCTTTGATCGCTTTGCCTTGTCTGCCACAAGAACCTACCAATACAGAGCAGGTAATTCTGACACAAGAACCTGTGTTGGTAGACGAGACAGCAGTAGTGCAGGTACAACCTCCGAACATCTCGAAACAGTCAGCCCCAGCTCCAGAAGTAAATGTTCCTCAACCTTCAGCAGATCAAGTGCTTAGAAAATCCATTGAAACGGACTACAATCGGGTTCTACAGTGGCAAAAGTGGCGCACTGCACCTCTGCGGATCTTTCTTGAAACTTTTGAAGCAATGCAGGATGAAGAGGACTTTGCACTTGCATGGATTGGCACTGATGAAGTTTCAAAAGCCCTTCGAATTGAAGAAATCAATCGCGTTTTCTCCTACAAAATGACAAATCGCACTCTCGGGAAAGATAAAGCTCCACTCTGCATCGAGCTCAACAAGCCACCCTTGGATCCAGTTTATGAAGAAGAACTAAAGCAACTTCGATATGCAATGTTGCTCTCAAAGATCAAGACCACTTTAGAGAAGGAACACCAAAATGATCCAAATTGTAATGCCAGTGGCACGAAAGATAAGCTTGGACGAGAGATTGAAGAAGGCGAGAGTGATGAAGATGAAGATGAAGATGAAGATGAAGATAATGATGATGTTGAAGATGCTGATGATGAGAATGATGATGATGATGACGATGATGATAATGATGGTCAGATGGGCAATGAAGGTGCTCAAGAAGCCGAACCTGAAGATAGTCACACAATCTTGATCGGTCCTGACTATGACACCTACCCTCAGAGATCTCCCTTAAGAAGACTACCATCTGACAGTAATGACTCGGACGAAGTTTCAACTTCTCATCTCAAAGATATATCACGAGCCATTGTTCCGCACATTCATCCCATAAACGAGACTCCAATCAAGCAAGAAGACGAACGTATGCGTGAGGGCAAACTGGAAGCCTCACCAATTCCTCTTAGCTCAGATAATGGTGGAAATCGGGAAGCACCACCTCAAGATGATCACATGAACACATCACCAACAAACGTTGAGGAAGAATCCCCTGCGAAGTCCCCACGAACTATCATGAACATCATGAGAGGAACTGTTCATTCAGCCGAGATCATCCACAGGCAATATCTTGCTTTAAGAGAAAAGGACGCGAAAGTCATGGATGATCTATGCAAAAAGGTCGATTTTCTGATAACAGCCCAATCTAGCCCTCAAGCACAGCCTCAATCGCAGCAACAAAGCCAATCAGATCACAAGGTCCTTGAGCGAATGACAAAGAAACTTTATGATCTCGAAGCTTCTTTGAACAAAGTTGTGCGACAACAGCACGAAATCAAGCACTCTCATTTTGGTCTCAAAGAGCGTGTGGATTTGGCCTGTACAAAGATTGACACATATCAGGACAACTCATACCAACTGGGCGAATATGCACTTCAAATTCTCGGATATGCTCAGGATATCTTGCTTGCAATCAACAAGGTCTCTTCCATTCCTCCTACCACCTGTGCTGATGATGCCAAAAAGGGGGAAAAGAGAAATGATGACAAAGATAAGGATGATGATCAGCCGAGAGATAGCACGAAAGATCAAGCTCGTGAAGCACGACACTCCCCATCTCGGACACTAAGAGACTATGACCAAAGAAACCCGAATCCATCCTCCAAGTCTCGTGGTCATCACTCCTCGAAGTCAAGATATGGTCGATACCAATCCTCCAAACAAATCAAGCCTCGACAATCATTTGGTTCTGAAGCCAAATACATCTTTACAGGTCTGCCAAAGAGAGAACAAATGAAATTAAGGCAAAAGCTTATGAGAGACAACAAAGTAACTATGGATGGCATAGGAAACTTTGTGGACTTCGTCCCATATGAAGAAGGCAGTGGCAAACGATTCGAGGGCTGCAATAATCCCACTTGGTTGAAAACAAAAGACAACCATACAAGACAAAACCACATGAGCACTCAAAATGAGAGAATCAAAAGAGCAAACAAAGAACTATGGAGGAAGCATGATGAAGAGAAAAAGAGAAGAGAAGATGAAGCAATGGAGAGAAAAAGGATCAGAAATCTCATTGAAGATCTTTCGAGTGTAACCAAAGACTCCCCACAAAATGTCATGCATAATGCAGCTTTCAAAGTGCACAAGGAATTAGGAAAGAGCTACCAAGAAGGCATGAATTCGTTTGAACTGATCTCGTGGTGGAAGTATGGTATTGTTGAAGGAAGCAACATTCGGGAAGCCTACAACAATTACACTGGTCTGAACATCAAAGGAGAACATGAAGAGCTTGTCAGGACTAACCCTATCAAAGTCTTCAGAGCAAAAATCAATGAGAAAATTGACTTCAACAGGATGCTAAAGCGACAAGAAGAAAAGGATGACCAAGAGCTCAAGGAAGCTGAACAACAGAAATCAAAGCTTTTAGAAATGTAAGTTAACTCTTGTTATATTTATGAAGTTTGTTTTTGTAATGATCACATCTTTATATATGAAACTCTCATTGTTACACATCTCGTGTCACTTGTTTGAGTTACTTGTTCTTATATCGCTTATTAAACGCTTTTATCTAGAAAAAGACTTGTAAACTCTCGAGTATGGCTGTTTTTATATAAGAAAAATCCTTATGGAACTTTTATCAGCCTTATAAGAAGAGTATAGGTTTTGGCATCATCAAAAAGGGGGAAATTGTTAGGAACATTGTATTAGGATTTTGATGATACCAATGTAATGTAGAAAAGTAGACCCCTAACCATTAGCTGTTTTTGTTTCGCTGCTTTCGTCTTAGACGAAAGTTGCCATAACTCCCCTATAATTCGTGTTAAGCTAGACAAACACACGAAAATGATTAGGGGTCTACTTTTCTACATTACATTGGTATCATCAAAATCCTAATACAATGTTCCTAACAGTATATAAAATTTATATATTTAGAAACTATATTAAAAAGTAAAAATATTATTAAACACAAAAAAAAAAAGTAAATTTAAAAAAAAAAAATTGATTTGACCAATAAATAGTAAACATGACATGTAAAATAATACCAGAGTATTAATTAATTAGCTAGTTAAAATGGCATTCATTTGGTGTTGATCATTATATTATTGGTGTGAATAGAAGAATCAAAATGAGACCAGAAATTGTGGAAAATTAAAGAAGAAAAGTATTCCAAAATTGAAGCGTAGATGATAACACTATAACAGTGACAGTTACATTAGAGAAAAGTAAACAAGCAAAGGACTACAACTTCCTCTCTCCCTTATAAACATTCATTGGATATAGGTTCTAAGATGTACACACGAAAAGAACGAAAAGAAAAGAAAAGAAAAGAAAATGATGTCCGCTAGAAATGAGATAGTAGCAGTGGCTATGGTAATGATGATGAGCTTCACAGTGATGCTCACTATGGCATATGAATCTAATATGACTGATGAGGCGTATCGGTATAAGCAAGATGGGATATCTATGGTTCCAAAGGGTTGTCCAGACAAGTGTGGCGAAGTTAGCATTTACTATCCATTTGGAACCAGGAAAGGATGCTATTTGGGCGAATGGTTCCACATAAATTGCACCACATCCTCGGATGGCGTGGAGAAACCCTACTTGAGTTTCTTCTCCAATGACAGTAGCGTAAGAGAGATTCTGGGCATTTCCTTTGAGAGTCTGACAATAACACTCAGACAGTCCATCTCTCCTGTCTGCCAAACCACCACCGATGGAAGCAATATCACCATAATTCCCGACACCAAATTATCCCAAACACCATTCTTTTACTCTTACACTCACAACAAGTTCATGCTTTTAGGTTGTGGCAACGCTCTCCTCACATCGCCTGGTTACGATATACTAGGCGGATGCACTTCCTTGTGTGGCAAATTCACGGAACGTCAGAATCTTTGCTACGGCAAAAACTGTTGTCAATTCGAGCTTAACACGTACAATAATATAAAAACATACCAAGTCAACTTCACAAACTCGGTCGCCCTCAATGCCTGCAGCTATGGCTTCTTTGTTGATCAAGATTGGTTCGCTGAAAGCTTTCCGAGCAGCCGACAGGAAGAGGTAGTTGTTCCGGTCGTGTGGTACTGGACCATCCCATACCACTACTTGCCTCCATCCATCACCTCAGATTACTGCTACAGTAGACGCTCTTATTGGGATTACTGTTCCTGCCCATATCCTAAAAAAGGGAACCCATTAATTGCAAATGGATGTCATGGTACGTACGCCACTAATTAGTATTAGTATATATTTTCCCTCTATATATAGGGGACTGCACGCATCCGCTGGCGTGCTACTCTTTTTGTTTTCTCTTTCGGATTTCCGTGTCAAATTAATTTTTTTTTTTTGCAATTTTTCTTTTCTTTCTTTTTGTTTTCCTCTTCCCCTCTCTCTTCTTGTCACCTAAAAATTGTGTAAAATTCACCACTGATATGGATGCTAAGGCTAACCACGTTAGTGGTTTTTTACCCCCTTTTAAGGCAAACAATATAATGCTTATTTGAATGAAAGAGAATTTTTGAGCTCGTCCTGCAAAATGTGATTTTTTATGAGACTCGCAGAAGAGAAAGGTAAAGGGAAAGGTGCGGTAGTGTGCCTGGGGCGCCCACTGGCACGTCAAGCCCTTTGTTTTTGTTTTTTATTTTTTTTGGCTTTTGTTTTTTTTTTTGTTTGTTTTGTTTTGTTTTGTTTTTTATTTTGTTTTTGTTTTGTTTTTGTTTTGTTTTGTTTTTTTGCATTAGATCTGTCTTTTTTTTTTTTTTCATTACTGGAAATTATTGAATTTCCGACCACATGAAAGTGATCTTAAATCAAGTTGAACGTAAAAAGTGGTCGGAAATAGCAATAAAGGTTTTTCCGGATGCCAAAAGTGGTCGGAACAAGACTTTCGACTTGATTTAAGATCACTTCTCAAATATCCTAAAAACTTCACTATTGAGGAATATCCTAAAAACTTCAACTTGATTTAAATCATTTAGGTGGTCGAAATATCCTAAAAACTTCACTATTGAGGATGTCTTAAATGATTTAATTACTGTGCAAGTTTTGTTGCTTAACGTATCAATATTTTCTTTTAATGCAGGCGGTCGCAAACTCACTGTCAAGGAACTATCCGCTATTATTGGTACGTTTAATATGTACTTTGAACGATATACGAATATGAAATATATAATTCCCCAGGAGGCCAGGACATATATAATATAATTTACACTATGGTTTCTGGCGGAAACCAGTTCCACTGGAAACCATGGCTATGGTTTCCGGCGGAACTGGGTTCCATCAGAAACCATTGCTATGGTTTCTGGCAGAACCCAGTTCCGCCAGAATTAAAAAAAAAAAAAAAATGAAAGAGAAGAGGCGGAAAATGACTTCCGCCCAAATTTGGCAGAAGTCATTTTCCGCCAAATTGGGCTCATTTTTCTCAGTCAACGGTCATTTTTCCCAATCAACGGAAAATGTTTTCCGTTGACTGGATTTTCTAGGTGTAGCCAAACACAAAAAACCCTGAAAATGACTTCCAGAAGTCATTTTCCCGGTTTTCAAACACAGCCTAATACCAATTTCCTTGCTATGTATTCCAATGATTTTTGGGTTACTAACTTATTGTAGATTAATAAATATAAAGTAAGCATTCGATCATATGAAGTTTCTACTCACTTGCACCATTCAATCTCAGGTGTTAGTGCAAGTTTTGGAATTTTGATGTTAGTATGGGGTTGTTTCATCCTCCGTAAAGCCATCAAGAAGAGAAAGATGAAGAAACAGAGGGAGAAGTTCTTCAAGCGTAATGGAGGTCTCCTTTTGCAACAACAGCTTCTAGCCAAAGAAGGGACCATTGAGAAAGCAAAGATTTTTACAACCAGGGAGTTGGATAAGGCCACTGATCATTTCAATGGCAATAGAATTGTAGGCCGAGGTGGGCAAGGAACAGTGTACAAAGGAATGTTAATTGACGGTCAAATTGTGGCAGTTAAGAAATCGCTGGCAGTGGACGAGAACCAATTAGAGCCATTCATCAATGAGGTTGTTATTCTTTCTCAAATCAATCATAGGAATGTTGTGAAATTACTGGGGTGTTGTTTGGAGACGGAAGTTCCCATTTTGGTTTATGAATTTATATCAAATGGAACGCTTTTTAGCCTTATCCATAACAATTTTGGCGACGAGCTCATTCCTCTTTCGTGGGATATTCGTCTCAGAATTGCATCAGAGGTGGCTAGTGCTTTAGCTTATCTCCACTCCGCCACATCAATTCCCATTTACCATAGAGACATCAAGTCCACTAATATCCTTCTGGATGAAAAATTCCGAGTTAAAGTTTCAGATTTTGGAACATCAAGGTCTATTTCAATAGACCAAACTCACTTGACTACCATAGTGAAGGGGACATTTGGTTACTTGGATCCAGAGTATTTTCAGTCTAGTCAATTCACAGATAAGAGTGATGTTTACAGTTTTGGAGTAGTCCTTGCTGAGCTCCTAACAGGACAAAAGCCAATTTCATTTGAAACTAATGATGATGAGGATCGGAGCTTGGTAACACGTTTTCTATTGTCCATAGAAGAAAACCGTTTCTTGGAGATTCTTGACAGAGAAGTTTCAAAGCAAGGTAAAAGGGAAGATGTTATGGCAATTGCTTTACTAGCACAGCGTTGCTTGAACTTAAACGGAAAGAAAAGACCTACCATGAAAGAAGTGGCTGCAGAGTTGGATGTCATTAGAGCATCTCATCCTCAACTCCACTCCCCTCGGCCTTGAAAACATTGAAATTGAGTCAGATTTCACCGTTTAAAGTTTTCCTTTTCACGGTATAGGAGATGTCTTTTTCTTGCTGTTTAATTTTAGGTAAAACTACTAAATAGCCTTAGAGTGAGTCTTCAATTCTGTGACATGTCTCACTGATCATTATGTGTGAGAAAAGTCGGGTCATGATGGATATGTCAAAGTTTAATGCTAATCAGAAATAAATTGTTTGTTATTTATAGGGGAAATGTAATATTTTAAAGGAAAAATATAATACTTTTATAGGCCCTTGGTAGCCATAAAAGTTTCAACTTGTGGGAAAATTATTTCTACATTTGGTGCAATCTTGGACATGGGAAAGTTAGGGCCAATGGAAATTTAATTCCATAATATGAAGTATAGTAAATTCCACCTAGGGGAGGTAAGTGTTTTTTTTTTTCTTCGAGTGGTGGGAATTCTACCAAATTTATTCAATTACATATTTATTCCCTTTTTACGGCTGAAAATTATGAAATTTTCGACCACCTGAAAGTGATTTTAAATCAAGTTGAAAGCAAAAAGTGGTCGGAAATAGTAATAAAGGTTTTTCCGGATACTAAAAATGGTCGGAACAAGACTTTCAACTTGATTTAAGATCATTTTCAGGTGGTCGGAAATTTCCTAATTTCCAGTAGTGTTTTTACACCAAATTAAAAATCTTTTATAAATATAAGAAATCCGTCTCTCCCACCATTACAAAGGATAACAACACTATTGATGGAAGAAATTTGTCTCCCCCAACACGTTTTTATATATGTACTATTTTGTATTTGAATATTAATTCTTCCTGCAGTCTAGAATTTTTTTACATCTGGTTTATTAATTATGTTTTTTTTTTTGCAAGGTTATATTAATGATTTAAAAAAAAAAATTCCCAGGAAAGCTTAAATGAACCAAATATCTTAATTAATTTTCAAGGTAATTTAATTCATATTTTCAATGATAACACCAAAAATGTTAATTAAAATTTTCTTTGCAAAGTTATTCCATCAAATGCATTACTTGGAAAGTATTTACCCAGGAATTTAATTGATGGAAAAGTTTCAAACGCCTTCTTAAACCAAATTTTAATATTTAGGGCTGAATAGTTACTTATGGGGAAAAAATGTAATACTAGTCATACATAAATTGTTTAATTGTTACTTATGAGAGAAAATGTAATACTTATGATGAAAAATGTGATCCTTTTGATACAAAATGTAATACTTTTAAATAAAAATGTAATATTAAGAGTTAAAGACTTACTATGATAAAAATTGAAATACTTATAAAAAAATCTAACCTGTCTCATAGGAGAATTTGTCATAGCCCTGTTATACGTTTTCATATTTCATGTAATTACTTCTTATATTTATTGATTTACTTGTGTGTGTATATTTTTTTTTTAAAATCACATTACAAATTAAAGAGTTATATATGGCATTTAGCATAAATAAACTTATTCCATATGGGAGGTCATCAGATCAAGTCTCGAGGCATTATTTTGATTCTTTGTACTTCAATAGGTTGAGAAAGTATGTTTGAACAGATACTACAATGTAATAGAGTCAGTAACATTCAAAAAAAAAAAAACTTATTCCATGTAACCCAATTCTAGTACCATTAAGATTCTAATCCAATAATCCAAAACCGTTGGAGTAGGGAGAAAATTGCCCTAATGTTAAAGGGTAACGTGACTTACCGGTGAATTGATAATACATTAAAAATGGACATATACTATATTAAAAATAAACATATACTAAGGTACATCTTGAAAAATGAACTCAACGTGCACGCCATAATTTGTCATGACTGTAGCTACTAGAACTGAAATCAGAAGTTGATCCCCATATAGCATAACTTTGGCTTGGTCCAATGAGGTGTTAGAGCATCTACATCAGATGAGAAATAGGGGAGAATTCACTACTTTTGAGGTCAAAATGCCATGGTGGCAGAGAGAGAATCAAGAGAGAGAAGGGGTGGGGAGCATCTGCAAATGTTGGATATTACTCTGCCCAAGAAAAATAATTAATGATGAAGGATAAAGAACCAATAGAGAAATGACATGCTTATTTTTTATATATGTTTTTTTATAAAATCAGTTTTGATTTTCTTTTCCCTCCCCTCCCACATTATTCTCTTTCCTACTCACTCTTACATTCTCCCCCTAATAACCCCAACTGATAAGGATGCTCTTATGGGCGAAGACATGTGAAAATTCGTGTGGATCCTGTGACGGTTTAAAACACTAATTGTAATAAAAAAGATTTTTAATGCAGTTTGAAAAATTCTTAATCTGCGAGTCACTCCTTGTATTGAGAAAACATTTTTTAAAAATTGTGCCACAAAAGTCTCGATTTTTAGAATTGTCAATATGTAGTGTTGGTATTGGAAAGGAATAAGAAATTTCTTAAACATGGAATATATTGAGAAGGAAGAAGCTGATTGAAGAGAAATACAATTTATATTATACACGT